GGGCGAAACCGTGAAAGACACTGTATTTCAAACAAACGTAAAAACGCTTTGAAAGGAATATGCACTTATGTACTAAAAAAAAAGAACGGAGCGTTAATACAGAAAAACAGTGATCACGTGATCAGTTTTGACGTTTGGCGTTCGCCGTAAACGCGTATCAAAAACTCTCTTTTATTAAGTTGAAATTTTCTATAACAAGCGTATCTCGTTGGGGAGAGGAAACACGAGAAAATTTTTTGAGTGTGTTTCAAATGCCAAGCGTGCGTTTATCAGAGTATAAACCACAGGCTGAGCCTTATTTACTTGTTTTATTATAAACATTTTGAGCAAAAATCTTTTTTGAGCACAATTGTGGTTTATACTCTCATAAACACACACGATATTTTACCAGGCCACCCAATTCAGCGTAGGCTGGTTTAAATGGGGGCCTGTACTCTCACACTCACTACCTCTACCATTAAGTATTTTAGCACACAACACTCCTCACATGTTGATTTTTGCTGAGGGAGGAAAACCGGAGGACCCGGAGAAAAACCCTCGTGGCAAGGGAGAGAACAACACATCAAACAAACTCAAACTCACATATGGTCCGTGCTCGGGAATCGAACCCGGACCACAGCGGTGAGAGGCCAGTAGCTTAACCACTAGGCCACCCATGCCACCCTACAGCTGCTGAGAGCAAAAATGTACAATGTACACACTGTGGTCACTTCGAAATAAAAGGTCTAATGACACAAATATATAAGGTCTTCTGATAACAATAACACTGCACGCCATCCGCGGCCATTTTCAATTGCACAATACAATCTATAATATGATTGGTAAAGATACATCCAGTCAAATCACTATTTATAACGAAATTTGATAAATGCGATGACGTCATCGATAATGTTATGAAACGTCATTTCCGGTATGACGTCATCAYTTTCGTTYTCAAGATTTGAAAAGTTCGGGGGTTGGCATCCCTGCATATATATATTTTTCGGTAATGGCACATTTATTTCGTGCATACTTTATATATTTGTAGATAAATAAAAGAAAATACAGCGAAGTGCATAGTCGAAATATGTTTGTTTTGAAGAGAATATTTGTGTCATTAGACCTTGTATATTTGTGTCATTAGACCTTATATATTTGTGTCATTAGACCTTATATATTTGTGTCATTAGACCTTATATATTTGTGTCATTAGACCTTATATATTTGTGTCATTAGACCTTATATATTTGTGTCATTAGACCTTATATATTTGTGTCATTAGACCTTATATATTTGTGTCATTAGACCTTATATATTTGTGTCATTAGACCTTATATATTTGTGTCATTAGACCTTATATATTTGTGTCATTAGACCTTATATATTTGTGTCATTAGACCTTATATATTTGTGTCATTAGACCTTATATATTTGTGTCATTA